AGATACTCCATTGGACCAGACGCAAGCATTGGCACTGAAGTTCTGAAAGAAGCTGTGAAGGGTGCTTGGCTCCAATCTGTCTTGACTAGGCTTCCTCTAGTGGCCCAGTCATCAGCATTCTAGAGGCTAGAATACATTCCCATGAATTGGTTTTTGGGTACGGAACACCAGCTGACTCCACGTCTATTGACTTTCTGATTGGTCTACCATCGATCTACATTGAAACTGAGACAACGAAAATAGGAGTTATTGCAATATTAAGTATATTTATTTACATGATAAAAATACATGGCTTAGATAGGACGTTGATTTTTGTATACTTACATGACATGCCCAGAATTCCAGAGAATTGAGTAGGTATGAAAACCAGTAGTTGGGTTGAACCAGACAGTGTCACCTTAGCCTTATGAGTGAACATTAGTGTGAATATATATAATATAAGGATCACCACTTAGGTTCCCTAAGAACTCAAAATCTATCTCGTTCCATGACGATCCTTGTGATTTTAACTGCGTTAGACAAGAATAAATTTGCCAGCAATGAACATATACCGTGCAGAAAACTATGAAATGATATGAGAATTGCCTGGAAAGTTGCTTAGCTGGTTGGCAGTTGTTGTCCCAGCAGAGTTACCAGGCACACGTTTGAGTAGCATATCAAATTTCCCGTAAAGATATTCATTCCTAGATTGGAAGCCTGAGCCAGAGGCTTTATCATGGGAGAGAACAAGAAGCTGACCGTTGTTGAGAATTTTTCCACGACCAATACCTCCCCAATGTGATAGCAACATCCAGGTAGAAATTACCAGCAGAAGCAACCATGAAAGTTTCAACCATAAGAAAAGTGATCACTAACATTTCTAGAGCATTTAGATGAGAGCATTTCTAGAGCATCAACTATAGTTTGGTGGTGGAACTAAATTTGGAAAAAAAAATATAGAGTTTGAGCTTAGACAATTAAGATATGTTTGAATTGTCATATTCTGAAAATTTTGAGGCTGAGGAGATTTGTAGGGCTGGGAACAATACTGGAAATGTCCTTTGAATATTGTAAGTTTGTTGGTGGGCTGAAGTAGCACTGGACAGCAGGATGGCATAAACAAACACAATGAAAATGGGCTTTCCTTTCTTTAGAATAGTCAGTCCAATTAAATTTTAAGGTGAATGGTCTGCCTACGTTACTTTTTAAAATTTAAAAATCGATATTTATTTTAAAATTTAAGGATAGTGGACGTAATTTATCCGAATATTTAAGCATAGTTGCTTCCTAGGTTGTAATATCAGCCTATCCTCAAATATACTTGTCAACTCTGAATAGTGTAACAGCTGCTGATTTATTTATAAAATATTAAAATTTTAATTTTAGTCATAAAACTAAATCTCTGAAACCCCAAATATATATATATATATATATCTATATACATACATGTGTGTGTGTATATATATATATATATATATATATATAAAACTCAAGAAGTTTACTTAGAGCTATAAGGATTCCTCTAGCTCTAAATTTGAGTCCAGAATACACGTTATAGCCCGTAGAAAGGGTAAGGATCCACACTAGCTGGGGAAAGGACCAAGTCAGCAGATCAAGCTGTCAGATTCAGAAAATAACTTTTGTTGATAAGTTAGTTTCATTTCATTTATGTAAGTTTTAATTCACATATTGTAGATAAGGTAAAGCTATCTTATATCCCTTGCATGTTGTATATACACATTGATGCTTAATGGAATTTAGTTAGAGGTAACTATGGCTGCAACATTGATGGAAACAGGACTGCCGGTGGTAGAATTTGCTGAAAGAGCTAGAATGTCTGAGGTTGGAGTTATAGAAAAACAGGCTATTTTGTAAATTTGAACAATGTTGAGGAATTTTTGGGTTTGGTGAGTGTAGAGCTTGTTGGAAGCTGAGTTGGTGAATTGTTAGAGTTGTGAAAGAGAAAAAGGTCAAATCGGAATTAGGATTTCAGACTTTCAGGATGCTTTCCGAATGCTAGAAAGTTACTGATAAATCAAACGAAAAGGAAATTTTAAAATGAATCCAAATGCTTGAAAGTTATTGATAAAAAAGATGACAGGTTCAAATTAGCTCGAATCTTATTATCATATATCCATCAAATGCTGCAGATAAATTTTCTTGTCTGCCTTTCTAATTATGAAGCCAATTAAGTTGAATATTGTGAATATAGAGCAACTGCAGCTTAGGCTACATTCCAATAGAAAGAAATTAGCTAAAACCTATTATTACACGGCCATGGAATTTCATAGTCCCATCTTTCATCAACCTCATCAAATGCATACAGACCGTATATCCCAACCGCCCAATTACACCATTTATAGCACTCACGCCTCCTAACATCTCGGCTAGAGTCATACACCTGGAAATGCCCTCTTCTTGGCTTGCCTTCGTCATTGAACTCCATGTTGCATTCAATTTTAACATGCTGGAATACAAATAGGTCCATAAAATCCCACCTAAATTCTTCCCCGTACTTCAAATTATATGCACCCAGATTACCATCATTTTGCCAGCAATGGATCATCAAAGATGCATGGTTTTCGAGCCTATTTACGATGTTTACATGTCTTCGGCCGAGGTAGAACCCAAGGGATGGTTCAAATCTAACAAGTGATGCAACGAGAAAGATTCCTAGAATATTCACGTTGACCTTCAAAGAACTCATCATTTGGTTTTTTTTATTATAATTTCATGTACAAACCTGTCAAGAAAAAAAAAAAAAAGAACAAACATTGAAATTGGAATGGAAGCTCTTTCCACTGCCTGTTCTAGAGTATTCTTGCTCTTACACCAGAAATGATTGAATAAATGCAGATTAAAAGAAAAATCAATCTTTTATCTTCAAATATTGGATAAACTAACAAACAAAACCTAGCTGCAAAAAGGCCAAGAAAAGAAGGAAAAACTGCAGGCTTGAGATTTAAAGGGAGAATGATAAAAAAAAAAAAAAAAAACGTCAACACAAAGTTAGAATATGAAAAGAACCTCTCCACGTATATTATTAGGAGGAGTGGTCATGAGTAGGCAAAGTTGGATTGATCAGAGATTTAGTGAAGATCCATCCCTGAATGATGGGATTTAGTGATCTAGTGGTGAACACAAAGTTGCAGAATTACTTGAACAAAGGGGTCATTCCCAATTGAGGGAGGGCGGGAACAACAAGAAATGTATTCTTAAGAGCTTAAAAATGCAACTCCGTTCTGTGAGGAGGATCGTCCGTTTTCCTTACCTCAATACTTCCTATATTCTTGTTGTTTTCTGCACCGCCCCTCCCCCAATTAGTGATTCATATCTCACCCACAATATTAGCATATTACCTACAATTGCAGTTATGAAATCTCAAAGTTTCTCAACCATCAACAGGTGTGTTCATTTATTTCAGTTAATTGATCTATTATTCAAATGATTTTAGAAAAATATTAATTTTTTATTAATTTAATTTAAAAATCGAATTAATCAATTAACCGAAATATAACAAAACTCAACTACAAAACTAAATATACATGAAATGGACTATTTCTTTAATTTTATAAGTTCTTTCAGCTTTTAACTTAATACCTTAATATTTGAATATTTTGTTGAATTATTTTATTTAATTTGTTTTAAATATAAAAAATTAAGAATTTACAATATAATTTAATTTAAATATATTTTATTATTCGATTAATTAAAAAAATTAATCAAACTAATTGAATTGAATTTGATTGGTTAATTTTTTAAATTAATAAATTTAATTTATTTAATAAAAATAATTTAATTTAATTTAATTAATTTAATTTGAAATTAATGAAATATCAAAATTAATCGAACCATTCAAATGAATACCCTTAATAAATAATGGAAGTTTCATTAGCAATTATATAAATACAATATGCACTCCACTAAAGGTCCATGGGCTTGGTAAGAAGGCTCAAGCTTGAGCCTAAACTCAGTCCACTTATTTTGGTCTTTTTATATTAATAAAATTATTACAGTATAAAATATTATTTTAATATTTTAAATTAATTTTAAATTAAAATTAAATAAAAATAATTTTATTAATAAATAATATTTTTAAGCTTAATTAGATTAAAAAAATCATATCTGAAAACTCGAGCCGGGTCTAAACCCACGGCTCTAGAGTTACGTACTCCACCGCATCAGAGATATTCTAGATTGAAAATATTATACTAATAATCGTTTTTGGTAATATTAACTTTCATTTGATGTGCATATTGAGACCATAGAATTTCAGAATTTCTTTCTTTAGATTTATCAGCCATCAATAAATGTTAAAATAGAGAATTGTTTATTATATTTAAGAAATGAACAAATAATTATTAAGAAAGACAAATTTATTTATATATACACGAGGAAGGATCAGTAATTTTTTTTAGTTTTATAAATTTTTTTAATTATTGATTTTAATAAAACAAAAAATAATATTAAGCCTTTTTTTATCTCTAGTTTTTTTTTTTAAATCTATTAAAATTAATAATTAAAAAAATGTAAAATTAAAAAAATTACACTATAAAAATTATATTTTGAAGTAGAATTATATGTTCTGTTATGTATGAGTAAAAATTTAATTTTTACTCATCAAAATTATTACTTATACCTTTTTATAATCAAATAATATTTTATTTTTTGATTTCATAAATAAAAATCATATCAACAGAAGCAATAATTAAATCTATTTTTATTCAAAAAAATCTATAGCCTTGAGATAAAAAAAATTAATGTCACGATTGTTGAGATTTAAATTTTGACTTTATTAAGTTCCATTGCTTTAATCATGATTATATGAATCAATTGATAATTAAATTCATCTTTAATTAGAGTCCTTAATGCTGTTTGTAATTGGTAATGGGCTATGGCTATAGGTTTAGATATGGTGATTAACATGATGAATGTGCAATGCAAGTAGTGAGATAAATATGCGAAGGAGACGGCAAGGCAAAAGTAGGTCAAAAGCCTCTCAACCATGGCATGTCATTGGCACCGCGTGTTTCATAGCCATGGCTGTGGGCTGTCACTTGTGTGCCATGCGCATTCCTTAAATCTTGACCGCCACTCTTCTCGCCACCTAACAACCGCTTTCTCTGCGCAGCCCCCACCACACAAAAATGGTACGTGAACCTTACTGCCCCTCTTGTCCTTTTATAGTTTATTTTTTCTCTCCTTTGCTTACAAATGGCCGCTTTGTTTTTTTCCTTGCTATATATTAAGAAGAGCTCCAATTAACTCAATGCACCAAATTCTCAGATCCATTTCTAGCTAATCGATAAGGCTGATTCATCACCCCTAATGAAGTTTATGGTATTTCTTGTGGTTTTTCCTTGGATGGCTGCATTTGCGTGGAACTTTTCCCAAGATTTTGACATCACATGGGGAAGTGACCGAGTTAGGATACTGGACAAAGGGGAGCAGATCACTCTCTCCCTTGATAAAGACTCCGGTTCAGCTTTTCAATCCAAGAATGAGTATCTATTTAGCAATATTTCCGTGCAACTTAAACTTGTCCCTGGCAACTCCGCCGGCACTGTGACATCCTACTATGTAAGCAGTACTTCTGCATGTTTTTGCATTTCCTGCTAAAATTCACTAGTTTGGATATGCTCCTCTAAGTCTGTTTATGCTGCAGTTAACCTCAAAAGAATCAACATGGGATGAAATAGACTTCGAATTCTTGGGGAATTTGAGTGGTGATCCTTACACTGTTCACACCAATGTAATTACTGGAGGTAAAGGAGACAGAGAACAACAATTCCACCTCTGGTATGACCCAACAGCAGATTTCCACACCTATTCCATCCTCTGGAATCCCCATGTCATTATGTAAGAACACTTGAATGGTATCTTTATCTACAAAAATAACTCAAATTTCATGGTGAATTACTCTGTTCCTTCCCTTTCCTTTTCACCCTTCGTTCTCACTGAATATACATATTTCAGCTTCTATGTTGATGGTACCCCTATTAGACAGTTGAAGAACTTGAATTCAACTAAAGTTCCATTCCCCAAGAGGCGGCCAATGAGAATTCATTCAAGCATTTGGAATGCAGAAGAGTGGGCAACAAGAGGAGGTCTTATCAAAATAGATTGGACCAAAGCTCCTTTCACAGCTTCCTATAGGAACATCAGTGCACAAGCTTGCATTTGGCCTTCCAGGGCTTATCCCTGCAATTCCAATTCATGGCTGGCAAAGGAGCTGGATGCTCCAAGCCTGGAAAGGTTGATGTGGGTGCAGAAGCATTACATGATTTACAACTATTGCATTGACACAAAGCGATTCCCTCAGGGACTCCCTCTCGAATGTGCTGCTACAACATAGATGGAAAGCCATTCTGCTTATTGCCAGCAGCCGCAGAAGACAGACACAACCTATATCACAGATCTTTTACCAAAACCATGCTACTATATCAACCTTAAGTTGCCTGAATTTACTCTATTTCTCCAATTAATTAGAAGTTGTCACTTTGAATTAGATAATGATTTTGAATAATAAAAGCACACCAATTAAGAGGGTTTTTTTGTATGTAGAAAAATCAGTAAGCCAATTTAACTCGAAGTTCAACTGGTTCATAGACATCTTTAAAAAATAGACACCTTTAAAAGATAATATGTAGGAGTTTAAATATCAACTACATAATCTTCCTTCCCATACTGCAGTCTCCTCCTTTATAAAAAGAAATAGTAAGCCTTTATAATAAGACATATTGGAATCAATTAAGAATTTAACAAAGAAATCAAATTTTTATAGGATAAGCTTTGACAGTAAAATTTTGGTCTGTCACTCCTTCAAAAGTAGAATAAGATAGTGTCAAAAAGAAAGATACAAAAACGGCAAGGTCTAATTGGATGTGAAAAAAGGGCACTGTTACAGTAGTATTGTAGCTGTTGCTCTTATTCCCACATGATTCTCATGGCAATAGCAAATACTACAAACACAACTTACTGTGGGTAAAAGTTGTTGCAAAATGTTTTAGCAACGAGACTTCAAAATTGCCAAAATGTCCTCTCTTTTCCGTGAAAACCATCGCCAAACTCGAGGCCGACAGAGACACTGTACACTGTTAATCTCTCGTTTTCCTGTTTCTCTTTCCTCTGCTTGGCCAATTTGCCAACGAGGCAATTGAGTTTATTTTTAATTTTTTCTTTTCATTTCTACCCACAGTTCTGTTAACCAGTTATAGTTAATCATTTGTACAGTATAAAGATAATTAAAACCCACTCCCATCAGATGAGATCATTTGATTCATTATTTTTGTAAATTTTATGGTTTATGGTTTCACTTGTTATTTGATTTATGGCTTTCCCCTTGCCAAATTTAAAAAAAAAAAAAATGTATGACTTTGTTTGTAATCAAATTACGAGGTTGAGTGAAAGAGAATACCACAGATTCTAAAAACAAGTCATGAATCTCACATCGAATATAATAAGAAGATCATTCGGATATAAAAGGGTTCACACCACCTTTCCCTTGTGAGAGATTTTTTGTAGCATAAAACCATGAAGTCAGAGAATATCACAGACTTTAAAGACAAGTCATGAATCTCACATCGAACATAATAAAAAAGTCATTGGGTATAAAAGGTTTCACACTACCTTACAAGGGTATAAAAGGGTTCACACTACCTCTCCCTTGTAAGGGATCTTTTGTAACATAAAATCGTAAGGTCAGAGGATAAAAGGGTTCACACTACCTCTCCCTTGTGAAAGATCTTTTGTAGCATAAAACCTTGAGGTCAGGGGATCAAAGCGGATAATACCTCACAAGGGTGTGAACCGTGACAGGTAAGTTGATCTAAGACACTGGATGAGTGGATGCTCGGGTCCCGAAATTACGTGGGTTCGGAGCTTAAGTCTCGACCCGTGACAAGTGATATCAGAGTTAGCCATGTATCATTTGATCCACGCCAAGGCTGTGAACCGTGATAGGAAAGTTGATCTAAGACATCGGATGAGTGGATACCTAGATCTTAGAACCGTGCGGGTTCAAAACTTAAGTCTTGACCAGTGACAAGTGATATCAGAGCCAACCCTATACCGTTCGATCCATGCCAAATACCTCGAAAGAGGTAGGCAGGGTGGTCAACCTTTATGATGAGGGCGTCACGAAGTTGGGTGGAGGAGAATGTCACGGACCTAAAGAGGAGTCTTGAATCCCACATCGAACATAAAAGGTGGGTTCGGAGCTTAAGTCTCGACCCGTGACAAGTGGTATCAAAGCTAGCCCTATATCATTCGATCCACGTCAAGGGTGTGAACCGTGGGTAGGTAGGTTGATCTGAGACACCGGATGAGTAGATACTCAAGTCCCGGAGTAGTGCAGGTTCAGAGCTTAAGTCTCGATCAATGACAAGTGATATCAGAGCCAGCTCTATACCCGTTCGATCCACGTCAAGCACCTCAAGGGAAGTAGGCAGGGTGGTCAGCCTTTGTGATGAGGGCGTCACGAGGTTGGGTGGGAAAAAATGTCACAGATCGAAGAAAAAGTCTTGAATCCCAAATCGAATATAAAATGAAAGTCACTGGAGTATATAAGAGTTCACATCATCTCTTTTTTGTAAGGTACCTTTTGTAAAACAAAATTGTAAGCTTAGAAGGGTCAGAACGAATAATACCTCATAAGGGTGTAAATCGTGACAGTCAAACTAAATCGCGTTGATTCGAAGCTTAAATTTTAACCCATGACACAGAAACTTGAGAGTTTGAATGGATTGAATTAATTTGGGTGGATTACGTGAAGAAATAATATCGTTGATTTGGAGTTTAACAGAATTTTGCAAAAAAAAAAATTAATGATTGCCCGAAAGTGGGAGATTTTGAGGGAGGCTATAGTTTGTTCTTATCGTTTGTTAAGACTGGTCTTGGAAATTGATGATTACGGGCCTGTTTAGCATGGGAATTAGATACCTGAAAAGGTGAGATATGGATATCAATACTCAAATTTAATTATTTATTGAAATATTTAAATTCGATAATTATTTAAATATTTTTAATTTTTTATACTCGAATTTCACTCATATAATATAAAAAAAATACAGGCTAGTTTCTCCTACTTACTAAATATAAGTTTATTATGTCAAAGTTTAACTTTTAAACAAATTTAAGATTAATTGTAATACATATTACTAAAAAATAAAATCAATAAATTAAAGTTAACTCAGTCCTCCTGTGAACCAAAGAAAAAGTTAACTTAAAAAAATAAATAAAAATTAAAAATCATAATAAAGATACTTAATGAATTAATTTTGGTAAGTATTAGATTAATAATAAATAATTTATAAACAAAATCTAAAAAAGAAGGCTCAACTTACACCAAAAAAAAATTTACATTTTTTTAATTATTAATTTCAATAAATCTAAGAAATGAGAGAAATCAATAAAAAATGATTTAATCTCATCCATTAGATTTTTTGAAATTAATGATAAAAAAATATAAAGTTAAAAAAATTTATATTGATGTAAGTTGATTTCTCCTGCAATTAAGTTTGGATAATGAATATCTAATATCACTATTTGAACCCCTAGCAGAACTTGATTGTAAGATATCCTAATCTACTTAATCACATCTAGTAGTTTAAGTTACTGGAGTATCCATCGCCATCACTAAATTGGAATGGAATGGGAAGAGGTTAAGGTGTTTAAAGAGATGAAGGAGAGAAAAGTAAGGATTAATTGGGCCATTTTAATCCTTGTTCTTGTAGCTTAGGCAGATTAGGATGCGCCTCAATCTGTTTGTCACCCACTTAAAAAAAACTGAAGAAATTGAAGTTGAGTGAGTAAAGCGAGAAAATGATATAAATTTTGTAACTACTCAGGAAATAATTTGCTAAAAAAAAGATTGTTAAATCTCAAATTCTTGGAGAACTGATAGGAAATTCATTTGGGGGAGGATAAGTTTCTGAGGTAATTTGATCTATTCCACTTACGAAGGAAGGGGAAGAGATAAAAACATAGAAGACCTGTTGGACTTAATAAAATTGAAAGATAACAATTTCCAGAAGTGTTGAAAATGCTGATTTTGGCCATTATAGAAGAAAGTAGAGATTATCTTATTTTTCACACGATTCTCATGGCAATAGCAAATAGTTGAAGCGTGCATGCATTGAACACAAAGTCTCAAAGTTAAAAAGTACAAACCAGTTAATTGGCCAGTGGATTTGCAAGTGGCATCTAAGAATGCGTCATCCCACTTTCGCCGAGGCAGAGCTTGGATCATATCCCCGGGGGACATATGGGTCCTGCGACGATTACAATAAGAATCACCGACTCTATGACTCCAAGTCTCCAATGGCGGTGCTGGTGCTGCTAGTGGTAACGACCCTTTTCTTTTTTTTGGATCCTTTGGGACTCCTTCAATATAATGGAGCTGTGGTTAACGAACCAATTAACTTTAGGATATGGCACTACTCTTAACTTTAACGCATTAATATGTACCAGCCCCATTACGTCACAATCAGTTGTCATCCAAACGAAAGAGCGAAAAGAAAGTAAGCAACGTATTGGGCAAAAGGAAAAAAAACCACAATGAAAGCGGACCCATGATGTCGGTGTTTGGTGCAGGGAAGGTGAGGGACTAGACTGGGCCGTGCCCACTCCTCGAATCTCTTTGCCAAAACCGCGTGTGAAAATCATAATCTACTCGGATTTTTTGTCCTCTCTACCTATTACACTCAAATCTTTTTCATTCCTAAGCCAGCTGGACACAGCTTATTTTCAGCCTTCCTTTTGCTTTCCTCTCATTTAATTTCGTTTACAATTACGTTGCTATAAAAAGTCCTTTCCCACCCTCACCAATCTCCTCATCTATTCAATTCAAAACTAGTTTCATCTCTTTCCTGCTGTCCCCTCTTTCCAAAGCATACTCCCAAATGGCTTCGTTTTCTTCTTCAAGTGTTCCGCTAATAAAATTATCGTTCGTAGTTTGCTTTTTTCTGACTGCCTATGCTGGTAATTTCTACCAGGATTTTGACCTCACTTGGGGAGATGGTCGTGCCAATATTCTCAGCAATGGTCAGCTTCTGACTCTCTCCCTCGACAAGGCCTCTGGCTCTGGCTTCCAGTCCAAGAACGAGTATTTGTTTGGGAAGATTGATATGCAGCTCAAGCTTGTTCCTGGCAACTCTGCTGGAACCGTAACAGCATACTATGTAAGCCTTCAGAATTTGGTACTTGCCTTCTTATACCTTACTGACGCAATCCCTTGGAACTAACATGTTGAACATTTTATGTTTTTGCAGCTATCTTCAAAGGGCGCAACATGGGATGAAATAGACTTTGAGTTCTTGGGGAACTTGAGCAGTGATCCTTACATCCTTCATACCAATGTTTTTAGCCAAGGCAAGGGCAACAGGGAGCAGCAATTTTATCTCTGGTTCGACCCAACTGCAGATTTTCACACGTACTCCATCCTATGGAATCCCCGGCATATCATGTAAGAAGATCGGATACAGTTCTGAAATTTGTATAATTTAGGATCATGAACTTGTTTTAAATTTTAATCCTTCAAATTTTCAACGGACTTCGTGTTTTGTGCATGTTTTTCAGTTTCTCGGTTGATGGCACTCCAATCAGAGAGTTCAAGAACCTGGAATCCAATGGTGTTCCATTCCCAAAGAACCAGCCTATGAGGATTTACTCCAG